GGACCCCGGACCCCGGGGACATATATGTCCCTCGTTGGGTGGCCGCTCTAGTGACCCTAACCGTAGAGCTCACCTTACCGATCCTCCGGTGAGGACGGTAATCCCGGCTACTGTCGCCAGTAGCCGTTGAGAGGAATGGACTAAAACCCTCAGTGGATGGCCCCCCGGAGGCTGATCCTCCGAGGTCCATCAGCTCTCTCTCCCCGGGGGGAGGGGAGATGGCACGCGCCGGCAGATCTCTGCCCATTCTCGCTCCTCTCTCTTCCTCGGTCAAAAAATCACCTGCCGAAGGTGGTGGGCCCTTAGGCGGGTTGCTACACCAGCCCTTTCGGGACTCTGAGTCCGAACATTCGGAGAAAAGTTTTTGTTTATAATTGGAGATCTCATTTTGGTCCCATGAGAACGGCGGGAAGTGGGCGTCGACCCCGGGTAGAGCCGCCGCATTACCTGGGGTAAGGCTAGCATGTCCCTTAGGTTCGCCAGGTGCCCAAGGTGAGGAACCACTGACGAGAGGTCACGCACCTGCCATCTATCCCATAAGCGTAGCATGCCTCAACCGTAGGATTATGTGGTGTTTTATAGAGAACCTGCCTCGCGGTCTGGCCAATTAAAGCAAGACCCCGGGCCCCAGAGACATGACCTAGGGTTACGGTGTGGTAGGCTAGGGTCTGCCGGGGTTGCCTGAGTCCCCTGTACCAGAGTGACGAAGCACCCTGGCCCTCGCAATTGTGTCAGCTTATACGTCCTGACAAGTACGGGTTTGCAATCAGGGTTTTCCTTCCTCTAAAACGGTTGCCTTCATCCGGCTCACGAGCCCGTTCTGCCCGCGCTGTAAGGTCCTTTGGGCCCCACGAGTGAGGCCCTCCAGACCCTGTTAAAACCTGGAGGCAGCTGCCCATCCAGGAGTATTATGGACGTTCTTAGTTTGGTTCCTCTGTACAGACCACTCCGGCATGGTAGAACCTGCTAGGGGTCGAAACCCCCGCCGGCACAGCTCTGTACATCTTCGGGACACGCAAGCTCCCCCACCACGGCAAGGTGGCGTCCACGGGGGAGCCTCTCGGGAGTCCCTGTCTGGACCACTCCTTCCTCTGGGGGGTATGAGGGGGAGTCGTCTACGATCACGAGGGGAGACAGGGTGTATCACTCTCTATCTCCCCTTTTACTAAGGTGGTTGGGGGAGAGTCCGCGGACTGCACCCGCCTTACCTTTTTCGTCTGGTCCTCCTCTGAAGATCCGCTGGTCCCGTCCTTGTCCTTCCGCTCGTCCTCTCTCCTTTTCCTCTGAGACAGCTGCTCTTTCTCCATCTGAACGGATGTTGAAGTCCTCTCCGTGAGCCCCCATGACGCCAGACAGGAGTCCCTCTCCTCGTGGTCCCCTCCCGGAGCATCCTTCTGGTCCCTCGTTGCAGAGGGGGCCGGACTGCCCTCCTCCGGCTGCAGGGTCCGGTCCACGGGGACCTCCAGAGGGGGTCGGGCCTCCCTCTCTTCGGCTCCCTCGATCACGGATGGCAGCACTCCCTCCGCCTTCCCTTTTCCCTGCTCTCGCGCCTTAATCCCCCTCCTTTTCCTGAAGGAGGAAGGTTTCCGATCTTATGATAGGAGGGCCTGCCCGCCTCGGCGCAGACCGGGCAGCGAGCCGCCCCTTGGCATCCTCTGGCGCGGTGGCCGGGGTTATCACAGCGATACCACAGTCCGCTGCGGTCGATGGCGCTATCGCACCGCTCGCGCACATGCCCCGGTTCCAAGCACCGGTAGCATAGTTTTGCGCGAGGGCAGCGCCACTACCCCGGCGCGAGTCCATTCAATTAGGACTCGCTCCGCGGCGGCTACCTTCGCGGCAGCCGCCAGCGGGCACCGAGCCACCACCGTGCCAGTTACCTAACGGGAGACGTTTACCCCGCCGGAGGAAACCTCCTCCGGCGTGCATCCCTTGGCGAGGGCCACCGCTGGTGACACCTCGTCGGCCCCGGTCGTCGCATCTAGGCCGGTCAGTCGCAACGCTGCGATCTTGACTAGCCTACGGATGCGGAAAGTGGGGCCTTTCTCCGCCGCCAGCTTGCGGAGCTCGTCCGCAAGCCGGTCGGCGGCTGCCCCCGCTGTGAGGCCAGGCACCTCAACCAACATGTCCTTGTTCAGGGTCTGAGTTAACCTCAGGGACCTCTGAATACCCAGGTCTGTTGGTCTAATCCGGCGCCTGGCCTCTACCATAAATTCCCGATAACGGTCGGAGGGCAGGTTATGGCGACGGCAGCGCTCTTCGGCGGCTTCGGCTGACCCGGTCTCGCCCCCTTCTTTCCTTTCTTTGTCCCCACCTGATTGGTAGGGGGAGTAGTGGGAGTTATTTTTACCCCTTCCTTTTCTTTCTTCTTCTCCTTTCTTCCTGGGACTCGAGACCAGGCCTCTTCCTTCCTTTCCTCTACCCGAAGCGCCCATCCTAGGCCTCCTTCGTATCCCAGCCCCTCCAGTTTCTTGGCCGGGATTCCCGCTCCTCCTTCCTGGGCTAGTTCCTTCTCCCTCTCCTTCTGGAGTCTCGCCCTCGCCTTCTTCCTCTTCTTCTTCTCCTTGGCCTTCTCTCTCTTCCTCGTTCGATCCGCCGGAGTTTGCTGAACCTGGGCCTGGCCCTCCTTCCTTCCGCGATCCTCTTCCTTCTCCTTGTCTTTGTTACCTTGGGTCGGTACAGGGGTCCCCACCCCCTCCGCGTCCCGGCTCCCGTCCCATCCGTAGACGAGGTGAGGCTTCTGATGAATCAGTCGTCCCACCCCGCCGCTGGATGTACGGGCCATGTTAGCCATGGAGGCATCCAGGTCCCCCTGCTTCCTCACAGGTTCGGGTTTCCATGTCGGAGAGGGAGTCTCGCCCGGGAGTTTGTCGTCATAGACGGGGTAACCCCCCGGGAGAGCCCCCGCCTCACCTCCTCACCATGGGAGGAAGAGGGGGAGTTGATTCTCGCCACTCTCCTCCTCTTCCTCTTCTTCTTCCTCTTTCTTTCCTCTCTTACTTCTTCCTCAGTTAAGGTAGTTGCCTCTCCACTCGTCACCTCTGCGTAAGTCCTCCTTCTCCTGGACGGATCTGGAGGAGTGGGTTGCGTGGAGATCATCAGGGCCTTGGTCGTCTGAAGCTCCTCTTGGAGCTTCATATTCTCCGTCCGCAGTCCCCTAATCTCCTCCTTAAGCTCCTCTGTGTCCCTCATCACTTCTGGCCTCTCTGCTCCATTCTCCTCCTGTATTGCTGTTCTGGCGATCAGGGTCGCCAGAGCTGCCTGAGAGGTGGCAGCAGCCCGGTTCAGTAAGCTTGTGAACGTCCCCTTGAGAGTATTCGAGCGTATCGCCACCAGCTTCACTGCCCCCAAGGCCCGCCCCACCTCGTCGACCAGCTCCGACGAACCTGCCCCCCTGAAGAGGTTCAGAAAGGAGGCATCTCTGAACACCTTCTCAGAGGGGCGCTTGTACGTTAGAGTATGGAGGAGCCCCCTTTCGAGGAGGCTGCACGCCTCTTTCTCCAGCCTCTTAAGGCTCTCCTCTTTTTTCTCCCTAGCCGCCTTCTCTCTCCTCTCCTTGAGCCCTACCCCTTCATAGGTCGTGGCTGGTCTTCCCCTCTCCTTTTTGGCTGGTATTAAGGCCGGGGCCGGGCCCTCTACAATTTCCACCGCCGATGTGGATCCTCCACTAGTGGAAGACCTCACCCTCTTCATCCCCGTAACAACGCTGCTGTCCCTCTTGTCTGCCCCTGTTTGTTGCAACAGCGCCTTCCCCCCTGCTCTCCGAACCTGAAATTTGGATCCCTGAGAGAGGAGCATGTCGGTGACGACGACCGGCCCCGCGATTCTCGCCCCCGACACCCCCTCTCTGTTCCCGGTCCCCACATCCTCTTTCCCCCGGTTGGCCCCAAGTGCCCCCTCGTTGTTGTTGGGGGCAGACTCTCTCTGCATCTTTTTTGCGCAGAGGGGGCCGGGTCTGTTGGCCCCTGGTACCGCTGTCCCTTGGCCCGCGGGGACCCCGGACCCCAGGGCCAGGGGCATGCCTGTCCCACGTTGTGGCCGCTCTGGTTATCCTCCGCGCAGAGCTTACCATACCAATCCTCCGGTGAGGACGGTAGTCCCGGCTACTGTCGCCAGTAGCCGTTGAGAGGGATGGACTGCCCTCAGTAGGTGGTCCCCCGAAGGCTATTCCTCCGAGGTCCATGCGCTCTCTCTCCCCGGGGGGAGGAGAGATGGTACCTGCCGGCAGATCTCTGCCCATCCTTCCTCCTCTCTCTCCCTCTAAAATATCACCTGCCGAAGCAGGTGGTGAACCCTTAGGCGGGTTGCTACACCCGTCTTTTCGGGACTCTGTGTCCGAAGACTCGGAGAAGTTTTGTTTTAAAATTTTCTGAAATCTCATTTTCGGTCCCACGAGTACGGCGGGAAGTGGAAGTCGACCCCGGGTAGAGCCCCCGCATTACCCGGCGTAAGGCTAGCTTGTCCCTTGGGTTCGCCAGGTGCCCAAGGTGAGGAATCCCTAGCGACAGGTCACGCACCAGCCATTCATTCCATAAGCGTGGCATGCCTCAACCGTAGGATTATGTGGTGTTTTATAGAGGACCCGCCTCACGGTCCGGCCAATTAAGGCAAGACCCCCGGCCCCAGAGACATGACCTAGGGTTACGGCGTGATAGGCTAAGGTCTGCCGGGGTTGCCTGAGTCCCCTGTACCAGAGTGCCAAAACACCCTGGCCCCTCGCAATTGTGTCAGGTTATACGTCCTGACAAGTACGGGTTTGCAATCAAGGTTTTCCTTCCCCTAGAACGGTTGCCTTCGCCCGGCTCACGAGCCCGTTCTGCCCGCGCTGTAAGGTCCTTTGGGCCCCACGAATTGGATCCGCCAGGCCCTGGTTGAAACCTGGAGGCAGCTGCCCATCCAGGAGTATTATGGACGCTCTTAGTCTGACCCCTCTGTACAGATCACTCTGTCATGGTAGAACCTGCCAGGGGCCGAAGCCCCCGTCGGCACAGCTCTGTACATCATAGGGGCATGCAAGCTCCCCCACCACGGCAAGGTGGCGTCCACGGTGGAGATTGCTCCCCCGCCTCGCGGAGCTCCTTCACCCTCGAGTAAAGGAGGGCTCGCTCCTCAGCGATGAGCTCCACGGGAGGGGACCCGGCTAGGGTGGTCGCCGCCATGTACGACAGCGTCCTGAATCCCCTGGCCGCCCTTACGTACAACGGCCTCAGGGCGGCCCGCAGACGACGAATGCCGTCGCGGGACGCCCGAAGCTGGGGCGCCCATATTGAGGCCCCGTACAGGGCGATCGAGAGGACGGCGCTGACGTACAGGCGGCGCGACCTCCATCCTGGACCCCCATGGTTGCGCAGGAGACTAGCGAGTGCCAGTCCGGCCTCGCGCACACTGGGGGCCAGTTGCCTGAAATGGGGTCCAAAGCTCCAGCGCCTGTCAGGCCGAGATACTTGATCGTCGGCCCGACGCGGATGTGGACGCCATCGACCAGGACCCGTTTCTCTGGCGGCGCCCCTCGACTTCCGTCGAGAAAAAACACGGCTTCAGTCTTCTGGGGCGCCACCCTGAGACCCAGGTCCCCGATGGTACCCACTACCGATGCCACCGCCATCTCCGCGCAGAGGTGGGCTTCCCCCCAGCTCTCACCACCGGCTACCACTAGTGTGTCGTCCGCGTATCAGACGACGTGGCAGCCTGTGGGGAGAGGCGCGCGCAACACCCGGTCGAACGCGATGTTCTATAGCAGGGGGCCGAGAACCGACCCCTGCGGAAGACCGCGCTCCATAATGCGCCGGCCCTGGACCCTGCCCTCCCTCAGGAAGGCGAGGTCCTGTCCCCAAAGTAGGCCGACAGGAATCGCCGGAGATAGATGGGCACCCCGTGGTGTTCGAGGGCCCGTCCGATCTCCGGCCAGGGCAAGGTGTTGAAGGCGTTTTTAATGTCAATCGACACCGCCAGCAACACCCCGCCCTCCTCCTCCACGACCGCCCGGGTCAGGTCCCGGAGGTACTGGATCGCGTCTAGCGTTGACCTTCTGGGCCTGAACCCGTACTGACGGCCGTGGAGGTTCGGCCCCTCTGAGGACAGGTGCTGGTCGAGGCGGTCGGCAATGATGCGCTCGAGCATCTTACCCGCCTCATCCAGCAGGCATATCGGCCTGTAGGCCGACGCACTCCCGGGTGTCTTGCCCGCCTCGGGGAGGAGGACCAACTTGGTCCTCCTCCACGCTGGGGGAACACCCTTTCTCTGAGACACCCGCTAAACACCCCGTGTAGGGCTGTGGACAGGCTTCCCTCGCCGAGAGCGAGAGCCCAGGCGCGACCAGGATTCCGTCGGGGCTGGGGGCTTTCCCCTTGGCCCCGAGCTTCCTCCTGGCCCTGACGAGCTCCTCTGGACTCACGGCCAGGTACTCGTCCCAATCCCCCTCCCCCAATTCAGGGGCAGGAATTCTGGGAGGGCCCCCTTCCACCCTCGGAAAGAGGGTGTCGAGGAGCCCCTCGAGGGCCCGGCCGCCCAACGTCGTTGACGGGAGCGCCTAAGGGCGGAGTTTCCCCTCTGCCCTTTTGTACGGGCGCCCCTACGGACCATCTTCCAGGAAGCTCGTCAAATGCTCCTAGGCTGCTCGCTTACCCTCGGCGATGGCGTCTCGGAGGGCTTTCCTAGCCGCTAGGTAGCCCTCCTTCGCTCTCGTGGCATCCCCGCCTCTTCGTCGGGCCATCGAACAGTAATAACGTCGCCTGGCGATGATGGAGGAGTCGCGCAGTTCCGCGATCTCCTCCGTCCACCAGTAAGCGACCCGACGACGGCGGGGGTGGGCTTTGGGCATAGCGGCGTCGCAAACCGACGCCACTATACGCACTAGTTCCCCAGCCCCCTCGTAGGGGCTGGGGGCTCACTCACCCGGCTCCCCATCTAGGTGCCAGGTAGTCATGAGAACGACCGCCCGAAACCTGTCCACACCCAGTCGACTGAAGGCCCACCTCCTAGGGAGGGGAAAGTCCCCCTCCCCAGTGCAGCGGGGAGCCCGCACCCGTGGAGGTCTGGGGAGGCAGAGGGCCCACACTATGTACCGGTATCGGACAGTGTCTCGCCCTCCAACTCCACCATCCACTCCTGGGACATCCAGGCGGCCGAGGGGATAGCCCAGGTCAATGACCGATTGATCCCCCGGCCGCACACAGGTGCTGGCCCCTGTTCATCAACAGGAGATTCAACCCCGCTGCCCAGTCTATCACGACCTCGCCCCTGGGGTCCCGCTACCGGGGACCACATCCCCACGCTTCCGCGTGGGCGTTGAAGTCCCCGGCAATGACGACGGGTCGGGGATGGCACCTACGTACTACCTTCCCGATCCCGTCGAGGACCCCCTTAATGCGGGCGAGGTTTCCGAGACTTTGCTCGTTTCTACGGTGGTGGAGGTAAACCCCCATCCACCGTAATGGACCCACAGTCGGCCGCCACGTACGAGGACCCCCTTCCCCTGATCTCACAGGGAGAGATCCCCGCCGCGGGGTCTGCCACCACAACTACCGAGTTGTCCTGGCTGCCGAACAAGCTCACGCTGTTCCTCTGCAGCCATTGCGGCTCGGTGGCTATTCCCAGCCCCGCGCCCAGCTCTTTGATCCTGTGAACCCACAGGTCCTGAGCCTGGACGCCGTGGCCGAGATTGGCCTGTAGGACCTCTGGCGGCTGGGCCGCCTCAATCTCCCCCGAGGGGGCTTCGGCCGTACTGGCCTCAATCGCGGGTGCTTCACATTCCGCGAAGTCACCTATACACGCGTGGAGTGTCCCTACCTCTTGGCCCCCTTCCCCTGGGGAGTATGGGGGGGTCATTGACCAGGGGCGACACTCCCACCGACTCCGCTTCTAAGGTTGTTGGGGGTGTCCCCTTTGGGTCCGCCTTCCTCACCTTTTTGACGTCCTCTTCTTCCTTCGACCGGTCCTGTGTCCTCAGCTCCAGCTTCTTCATAGGCTCGGACGTTCCGTTTCTCTTCCGTCTCTGCTCCAGGGGGGTCACCTTCATCGGTTCCTCCTCCTTTCTCTTCCGTCTCTGCTCCAGAGGGACATCTCCATCGGTTCCTCCTCCTCTGGAGAGGTTGGGAATGGGCTCCATTCGTGGTCCTTTCCCCATACTTTCGTTGCCACAGGCTTCCATTATACTCGACGTGCCCCCTTTTCTTTTTTTGGTAACCCAGGGGGAAATCCCTACCGGATACCCTCGAGCCCTGTGAGAAGCCCGAGGGTTATATGGGGCTTGCACTCACTAAAATCCCCTGGGGGTACCATTCCTTCCCTCTAACGTGATTTCAACGGTTGTCTCCAGCGGCAATCGGGGGAGGGGGGTACCATCTCCCTCCCCCAACCCAACCTCCGGTGTTCGAGATGGAGTGAGACAGGTCCGAGCCCACACCCAGACCTGCGTTCATCCACCACCCGCTTCCGTTTACTGAGACGGGCCCGTGGATGTCCTCACCCGAGTCAGTACATCCGAGTGAAGGGTCCTATTGTGACCCGGTCTCGCAGTTCTGCCAATCCCCCTCACCGCGGCAGGGGAGGGAGGCCCCCTCTCAACACGAGAAGGTGCCAACACTCCCCCCTCCGCCGATCGGGAACACTGGCGACCGCCCTGGCTGTTCCCGGCCGACACCAACTCGGCGGTACCCACACCGGCGGGTGCGTTACTGCATCCGCCACCGTTGTCTCCCTGACAACGATTATACCCCCAAGTGACGGGCGCAATAAAACACGCCCGCCTCCCCCACGGGTTCCGCGTTGGGGGACGGCCGCGGCGACGCCCATGCGCCCACCGCCCCCCTTGGTCCTGGAGGCCAGCCAACAAACCGGACCCAACTCGACGTGCCCTTTCTTTTTGGTAACGCAGGGGAAATCCGTCATGGATACCCTCGACCCTTTGGAGGGGTCGAGGGTTATGTCGAACTATTACCGACTAAGACCCCTGCGGGATGTCTATCAACCGGACCGTCGTGGGGGGAGTCAGGAGAACTATTGCCGTATTCCCTCCTCGACACCCCTGTCCCAGGGCTCTCCGGGAGCCCCTCAGCCTCGTGTACCGCACCCTGTCCCGCTGAGGGAGTCCAGGGTGCGGTCCCCGACTGGTTGCCCAGCCGGGTTGGTCTTCTGGCTTCTACTTGGAGGAAGGGGACACCCACCCTCCCCCCGCGCCCCTTTTACTCCCCTCCATAGGAGGGGGGCAGGGGAGTGGGGTCTGTCTCCAAACCGGACCTCCACTCCCTCTTTACCTACCACTATCGACGCGCGGGGAAAGGGGCGGATGACCTACGCACCCGTCGCTCCCATTCCCCCGCGCATCCGGAGTCGGGCCCGAGGCGGCCGGGGAGGCGGTCTCCGGTTAGCCGGTGGTCCGCCTTCCTCCCCGGCTGGCACCCCCTCGGGCCCACTGCCCATACCAGGGGAACGCCGACCACCCCGTCGCTGCCTGCGACGGATTCCTGGATGACGCTCCCATTCGGCGGCCTCCTTCCGCGACATCACGTCACGGCAGAAGGAGGCCGCCGCTCTCCAAGCCTCTTCGCTCTCGCACATAGATCTAACCATGCGTGGGAGCGAGAGCTCTCGCTCCCCGCACCCCACCGTCCGGGCCAGGACACCGCGCTCCCTGTCCCATGCCGGGCATAGGGACAGGTTGTGGTGCGCGGTGTCATCCGGCTCCGGGCAATGGTGGCATCCGGTCGTGGGCTCTTTCTTGATCCGGTGCAGGTGGTGCCCGAAGCAGCCATGTCCGATCATCACCTGCACCAGATGGAACGTTAGTCCGCGTCTCCTCCTTTTTTTTTGAACGCAGGAGAAACCCATCATGGGTACCCTCCGCCCCCTGGGAGGGGCAGAGGGTTATGTGAGACTCTTACTCACTAAAACTCCTGCGGGATGTCTACCAATCGGACCGAGATGGGGGGAGTTGGGGGAACTGCGCCAGCATTCCCTCTCCAACACCCCGGCCCCAGGGCTCTCACGGAGCCCCACGCCCAAGTACCGCACCCGTGTGGATCCTCTCCTGAAAGAGGGTCCGGGTGCGGTGCCCCGATCGGCTTGCTGATCGGGTTGGCCTTCCGGTACTTTATAGGAGAGAGGGGACATCCACCCTCCCTCCCCGCCCCCTCCTCGTGAGTGATTCCACTCCAGAGTGGGCAGGGGAGCGAGACTTTTCCCAGAAGGCCCCGCTCCCTCCTACCCTACCTCGCCGACGCCCAGGGGAGGGCGAGGGGGTTTTACACCCGCCCCCCCGACGACCCTCCCCCACGCGTCCGCATGCGGGCCCGAGGCGGCCGAGGAGGCGATCCTCGGTTGTCCGAAGATCGTTGCTCCTCGGCCGGCGCCACCTCGGGCCCGCTCCCTAAACCTGGGGAGCCCCGTCCCCTCCGCCGTCTGCTGGGACGGTCAGAGGGGCGGCGCTCCCACTCGGCGGCCTCCTTCTGGGACATGATATCCTTGCAGAAGGAGGCCGCCTTCCTCCACACCTCTTCGCTCCCGCACATGGCGCGTACCATGCGCGGGAGCGAGAGGGCCTCCACTCTACACCCCACCGCCCGGGCCAGGACTCGGCGCCGCTGGTCCCATGCGGGGCACGAGACC